TTTTTTTTTTTTAAGACAGAAATTCTTGTTGATTTTTCTCGAAGTAATTTTCTAGTTAACAGGTGCAATCACTGGTGCTATGACAACGCCTCTTGATGTGATAAAAACCCGACTAATGATACAGGTGGTATTGAGATGCTATCGTGATACATATTTTAACTTTAGCATATATAAAGATCTCACATGCCTTTCTTTCTGTTGTTCAACCATCAGGGATCAAAAAAGCAGTACAATGGTATAGTTCACTGCATGAATACTATTCTCAAAGAAGAAGGAAGCTCTGCTTTTCTTAGGGTATGTATCCTTTTACTCAGATGATGCTGTTCACTTTTTCTTTGTTGCTTATGAATTTAATGGTACTGAACATTTTGTCTCCCTTGATTAGTTGATTATAGCTAGCTACGCCAAATTTGGCGACAATATCTGTCTTTGTTTTTGTGTGTGTGTGTGTGTATGAGAGAGAGTAACTAGAAACTATACTATACTCTGCCGATTTTCCTTGCACTAAAATGCTTCCGAAGACTACAAAGAATTGGACTACCAGCTGGATAAGATATCAAGTACCAGTGTTGTATACAAGCTTATTCAGCTTCACCTTGTAATATTTTTTTTGTTCTTTTTTTCTGTTGCTTTCTTCCTTTCATTCTCTCTCTCTCTCTGTCTCTCTCAGTTAATCGTGAACTGCTATTTACAGACGCTACTAACTTGTAAATTAAAAAAAAAAATTAAACAATTTCATCTTCCTCCGCTATATGCTTGGCGGTTAAGCTCTAAACTATTACACTGAGAGTGAAAATCCGAAAAAGTTGCTGTATAAGCTTGCATATGTATATTTGATGGTGTATGGTGCAGGGGATGGGAGCTCGGGTGGTGTGGATAGGCATCGGTGGTTCCATATTTTTCGGAGTTCTTGAGAAGTCGAAGCAGCTGCTCGCCCGCAGGCACCGTCTTAAGGATAATTGAAATATAGGTCTAAGATCATTTCAGAGATTATTTTTCTAATAAAGATTAATTAATCTTCGAAATAGCCAAGGTATGAATGTAATCATTTGAGTTTCGTCTAATGAGACTCTGTCTTGTGTTTATCTTCTGTAATGATATCAAAGCAGCTAGAAAGTTGATGTTGGATTCCCAGGACAATGCATAAAAATGCATGGTGTTTTGAGTTTTTTTTTTTTTTTTT